GGGCTATGAATGGGGTACAGTGGTCACCAGCCACAGTTAAGAAGGCCCTACAGCTGAGGTTCTCATGCGGATCTGCAGGATACAAAGTCCTATTAAAACTGCAATACCCACTACCATCGGAACGCACACTTCAGAGGAGGTTACAGTACATGTCTTTTCAGCCAGGTGTATTGACGCAGGTCTTTGAACTGCTGAAGCTGAAAGTTGATGGTCTGACTAAGGAAGAACGACTTTGCTGTCTTACACTAGACGAAATGTCTCTGACACAAAAAGTCGAGTATGATGTCACTAGTGGTCACCTTGTAGGCGATGTGACATTGCCAAGACACTGTGGCAGTGCTGACCATGCGCTTGTGTTCATGCTCGGTGGAGTTACCTCTCGCTGGAAGCAAACGATTGGCTATCACTTTACAAGTGGCTCAACAGATGGAACCGTCTTCAAGGACATCATTCTGGACATCATCAGTCGTGCAGCAGACACCGGCCTGCATGTCCAAGCAGTAACAAGTGATATGGGTAGCGCCAATCGGGCTATGTGGAAGTCGTTTGGGATAATATGCGGTAAACATTGCCAGACAGTCTACAGAATCCCTCACCCGCATGAAACAGAAGGTTGGCTGTATTTTCTCGCTGATGTTCCTCATTTGTTCAAAAACATCAAGTCAGCTCTAATAAGTGGGCAGAATTTTGTTCTTTCCAAAGACACCGTAGAGCGCCATCATCTTCGCTCATCCATCGTCAGTGATTACCCCCTTCATGACCTTGCATGCTTCCAAGAGCACCACGAGTTGAAGCTGGCACCAAAGCTTACCAAGGCCAAACTTGCACCTTCTCACTTCGAGAAAATGAAAGTGTCCAGCGCTACACATGTGATCAGCCATGATGTGAGCAGTGCCCTCATCTACCTTGCAAACAAAGAAAGCAGGGGTGCAGACCATCGTACTGCAGCTTGGTTTATCGAAATGGTGAACCATTGGTTCGAGATCATGACAAGCCGTCATCCTGTTTTGGCCCTTAGCAAGATGAAGCCAGATAAATACAAGGAAACTCTGTCATTTCTTCAAGATGTCATAGCTGTGTTCAAGGGGATGAAGATAGGTAAAGGTGACTGGAAGCCATGCCAAACTGGGGTAATCTTGACTACTACATCAGTTCTTAGCTTAGCTGAGGAGCTTCTTGATGCTGGTCACAAATACCTTCTTACAGGTAGACTAACACAAGACTGTTTGGAAAATCTGTTTTCTGTCGTTCGCCTGAGGAAGCCGGTCCCATCCCCACTAGAATTCAAGTTTGCCCTGAAACTCATCAGCACTGCCCAGTTTCTCACGCTGCCACGTTCAGGGAGTTACAGCCAAGATGATGGCGAATTCCTCGCTGATTTCCTGCAACAGGACATGCAGGTCCCAGAGGAAGTCGAAGTCTCAGGCATCATCCTGTCAGACAACCCCGATGTCAGTTGTCTTCCTCCAGCAGAGCGCGCTAGCCTCTACAACCTTGCAGGCTACTGTGCCACCAGTGTTAAGAAGAACGAGACAACTTGTAAAACTTGCATGAGTGAGGTGACAGCTGAAGACACAGAAAACACACATCCTGATGCACAGCTCACCATGCTGAAAGAGTTCAAAACTGGATGCCTTCTTCGTGTGTCAGACAAGACATTCAAGATGATATTGACTGTCGAAGCGATGTTCCGCGAGGCTGAAGACAAGCTCATGGATGAAAAAAATGTGAAGAGTGTGCTTCTAGAACGAGCGCAAGAGCTAACTGAAGATGTGAAGTTTGCAGACTGCCATAACATCAAAAGGAAACTTCTTGCGAAGTTTATCACATCGCGGCTACATTTCTTTTGCAAGAAGCAAACCGGCAATCGTAAGAAAGAATCATCAAAGAAGTTTAATGAACTGGGTAGCAAAAGCATGACAATGAGGAAGCTAGCCGCAAAAGTGAAGTGAAATGAATCAAGCATGCAATAAGTAATTTCCATTCTAGTTTTGAACACTTGAAGGGGTGAATATACATGTATGAGGGCAATTAGGCAATGAATATTAACTTTTATTTGAGCTAAGTACACCATGTAGGTATACACATGTACAGTGTATCCTAATACTGGATTCAAAACAAACAAATGTATATTTCTACAAACTCCTTTTTTTTTAAGTATGCAAAAATATTGTGATACAAGTCATTGATATCACTCTGATTATCTGTTACCAAGAACAGTCTGAGAGTATTGATACAAAGAGGATGTAAATCTGTACCTTTAATTTTTTACATTATAATTGCTGTAAGAGAAATCCTGATATAGTATTAAAAGGAGTGTTGAAAAATGACATTCTGATGTGAAAAGAATGTTCTTTTAATAGTGCTATCCTAAATATTTTGCAATTCTGATCACATTTTGTTAACTTTTAGAGCAAAAAAAAAAGCACTTTCAAGCGTTGTAAGGGAATTATTCTCACAAAGACTTATGGTTGGTTTTTTTTCCCCTGTATCTCAAAAATTATTCTTGTATTTAACATTTTAAAGGTATTCATAGAATATACAGTAAAGGTGTTTGCAGTGGACACATTCCCTTTAAATACTTGATGATAGATATATCATATTTGTAATATTTATTTGCCAGTTCTTTGCCATGAAAGAAATTCAGTAGAACCATCTTTTTCATTTAGAAAGCACAACTTATTTTGGGAACAATATGCTACAACCTCCTTATAAAGAGCACTGTTAAAAGAAACTCTAATTATGAAAAGGTAATTTTGCTGGTCCTGCTTATTTGTATTCTATTCTTTTTTAGCCCTGATATAACAAGGTTTCGATATAAAGAGGTACAGTTAACTTTGCATTAGTCAAATCTGTTGGGATCACAAGAAATAGTTTGACTTACATGTATGCAAAATTTGACATAGGAAATGTAAATAACACATGTTTTGTATAGTTTGGTCAAAAAATTTGATTCGACTTAGGGAAAGTTTGACTTATGTGACTTCGAGTTATGCAAGGTTAACTGTAATTTCCTTGGTCCCAAGGAGTTTGTTATAATGAGGACCCACTGTACTGTACTTGGGCATAAACTGCAGTTCTTAGTTTCCAATTTCAAACTTGGCCAAATAGACTGTTTCTGTTTGTTCATTTTGTGAAATAACCATTCCAATGATGGAAGATTTCCTTGAGCAAGTAGAGATTGACCTATTTTTTGCGCTGTTGCTTGCAAATTGCAGTAGGCCCATGTGTTTTGTTGCATAATTCATGATTATGTACATTTGCTTGTTTAAGCAAAGTTGAATTGTACATTTCAGATAAATAATGATACCCATCACATTCCAGTTTGTTATGTTTGGTAAAATTTTTAGTAATTGATGATCCTGACAGTCCCATTGTGTAATGTCTGAATTTCCAAATTTTTAAGTTGTTTTGTCATGTCAGGGATGTACATGTAGACATGAGTTTGGAGCTTGCCTGGAGAAAATCAAGTTGATGCAGGGCGAGCATATTTTTATACCGCTTTTTAAAAAAGGGCACAATCTATACTGGAATGGTATGGGAGAAGTTGTGCAGTATCTGGAATTGAAGAAGATGTGCAATGGTATTCAGATTTTCTATTCTAAGTTTAAATTGAATCATCACTACGTGTAGAACTAAAGTACATGTTCAGGTAAAGTTGTGACACTGGGCAAGGATAATATGACATGATTTTCATGGGGAAATACATATATCATTGTCTACATTGCTCCCCCTTTTTTTCTTACATATCTTAATACCATACCCATTATGTATTGTTGAAAAGGATGTCTTTTCGAGAAGGAACATGTATATGTATTATGACATGAAATAAATTGAAAAAAAAGCAACAAACAAAAGAATTGCCCAATTTCAAAGTTACTTTGTGTGAAATTTATACTCGGAGCTGTGTGTGTGTGTGTGTGTGTGTGTGTGTGTGTGTGTCGAGGGGAGGGGGGGGGGTGGTATACTTCTGTGTCTGGAATTGGGAGTAAACAGATGTATGAGAGGATATGTTTATAATGTGTGTAAAGGTATTGATGTGCATGGATTAAAAAAAAAAAAAAAATCTCATTTTTATGAGTCAGTTGGGCATTGTCTATGGAAAGGGAGGGGGGATGGGTCGGATTGTTTTTGCCAGTGATGTCTTTATTTTATGATGTGGGTTATGGTTGCATGCTGATTAACTCTCCCCCCCCCCCCCCCCCCCTACCCCTCTTATGAGCAGCAAAACTTTTGGTTTGGGGGCTGCAAGCTAGGTTAGCTTGTATATGGACATACAGCCCCCTCCCACTTTTCCATGTACGGGGGGGGGGGTGTTGAGATACAATACAAACAATAGCGCGAGTTGCTTTCTGGCTCGCACAGTTGTGTTTGAAATGTGGCCGACACAACACAGTATATTATGCACTTCAAAATTTATACATGCACTGCGCGCGCGCGGTTGACCGGGCGGCGTTATTTTTTTATGCGGCACAGATTGGGGCATGGCGCGTGTTAAACCTATGGGAAGTACGTTCTTTCCCTTCTGAATAGTGTCTGCACGTACGTGAGACTAGTCATGTTCGCTAGCGCATTAGCGCTGCGAAGAAGTTTGTATATCCATCGCGAACTATGTGTTTAGATAACATTCCTCTTCGTTTAAGTTAGTTAAGTTTTATTGACTAATTATTGTGATGTTCTCCTTATTGACGTGCTGCCTCCTCTTCAGATTTCCAATTTGATTTTAATTGTTGATGTAATGATTTTCCATGCGGTAGTGGATTACATGTAACACTATTAAAAACAGACCTCTACTACTTATACTGTCTAGTACGCACACGACCAGTATTAGTCTGTAAATCAAGACCCCTTTTTAAAAAAAGCCCCAATCTGTGCCGCATAAAAAAATAACGCGACCGGGCGAGTGAAACAAAATGGCGTCAATGCGCAAGTTGTCGCTACTCTCTATATATAGGTACTCTATATAGGTACTCTAGATTGGTTGGTCGACTAGCGCCAGCTTTTGTCCATATTTACTTTTTACAATAACATTTCGACGGATCGACCAGCCAAGCATCTCACAAACTATATTATCACCCATCCGCGTCTACAACTGCTATTGACGTATTCCTTGGTAAGTTAAAAGAATACTTGTGTTTGTAATAATGTACTGATATTAATGAACTATGTGTTTATTTAGCTACATTGATGCAATCATGCACGGCTGCGTCGCGAAGTTGAAGAATTAAAGGCCAATGTTGTTGTATTGTACCGCCCAAGTCTGGGCGATCCATCCGCTGACAAGTTGGTAGTGGGCGCTAGCTGCGAATGGTCTGTGGTGCGGATGGTCGCGGTCCGTGTCACAATTAAAACTCGTCACATATCGAATTGCAAACATTTTTTAATCCATATGACCATGATGCATGACAATTGACATGATTGTTGACAAGAAAAAAACGTGATGAAAGATCACCACAGCAGTTTGGACAATTTTTATGTTCATTCCAGAAAAAAATAGTTAAAAACATGAATATCTTGTTGCATGTCGTTGATTATTTTCTGATTTGTTAATGTATCTTTGTAAATAAATTGTATCAACTATCAATCATGTATTGGAGCGCGAGCAGGCGCGTATGCAGGGGGGGGGGGGAACCCCCCCTCCCCTCCTGAATTTTTGTTTAGGTGTTTTGGAAGAGAAAGCCCCCCCCCCCCCTGGCCCCTCAATTTTTAATTTAAAAAAAATATATTGTGCTAGAGACTTTAATATACTAAATAGTCTACATGTAGATCTAGGTGACCAAAAAAGGTGACCCCCCCCCCCCCCCCACCCGCCGACTTTAGAAATAATTATCATATCCTTAGAGTGGAAACATTCCAGAAGCGACGACAACGACAATCTATTTACTGTTCAGGAACCTGGTTAGGGTGTCTGATCGCGCACCCGATGTTGTGTGCTAAAATTCTTCCCATAGAGATTACACGCATCCCTATGCAGCCTACGTGCATTGCGCGACCATGCAAAAAAAGTCAATTTTTTTTTTTCAAATCGAGATTCAAACCTTTATCAGTTGTGATCCTGAAGGTGATAATCAATGAATGAGGTGTCATATGAAAGAGCAGGTGAATTCCAATATTTCCAAAGGGGCGTAGCCCCTGAAATTCTAAAAATATCTTGGTCAAAACAGCAATTTAAACATTGTGTCCTGGCTAACTCTGAGGTTTGTCACTTTTGAGATATGACGCCCCGATCGATAAGTAGTCCCAGTCCTAAGGAACAATTCTATGTGATTATATTTTCGCTAGCCCCCAGGGATCACAACTGATAACAGTTTAAAAATACCCTTCTCGCTATTTGGTGGATCAGCTAATTAGGGGGCGTGCGCTCCGCTCAGTCCAAACCATGGTTACATCGCGTAACATCTCCGCGCACGAACGAAAACCCAAATTCAATTACACATTATAGTGACTGAAATTATGGTTGGAAATTCCCTCGATAAACCCGGAAGTGAATACACGTTATAGTCAATGGCAATATCGCGGAGACAACGTGCGTTGTCTCCGCGATATTGCCATTGACTATAACGTGCATTCACTTCCGGGTTTATTGTGCGACGATTGCCAACCATACTAGTCAATCGCACATGTCGCGGAGACAGCGTAGCTCAAGCTGCAAGTCGCGGATTGGCTTAGCAGCATGCGTACGATATGCATACGCTTGCATATCGCGCGATACAGCTGTTTGGCTAAATTTAGCAAAACAACATCACTCTGCGTGGACGTCTTTTTCGACGATTTTGACCAAAATGATATGAATATACCAGCGTGTTGGAGGGGCTGTAACTTTTGATAGAAACATCGGTGAGACTTGAAATTTGAAATGTATTATTCTGATAACATTTTTTATTCAAATATCAAACAAAAATGGTGAAAAACGATCCCAAATTGAAATTTGAAAAATCGTTCAGACACCCTATTTTTTAGATCAGATGAATTGCGTTTATTAACCGTTTGTCAAAGACTTTAGGCCATTAAAAAAAAATGTTTAGCGTCCCCGCCTGCTTCCTTTTGGGGGGCCGCCTCATTATTTTAACATGAAAAACACACTGCTAAAAAATGTGTGGGACTATGAACGGGCTGGACATTTTGTCTTACTGAAATGTGCTTAGAATTCAAGTAATTCATCTATTAAATGACTAGAACAGACAATAAACAAGACAAAGGTAAGGACAAGAATCAGTGCTTATTAATATAACAGACATTTTGCATGAAATACCATCAGGAAAGCCATCTAAATTTGTCACAAATTAGCGACAAACACACCAAATTCAGCGCTGCAATGACGCACAAAACGGCGTAGAATTCAACTTTTCATCCCCCAAAAATATATCTACGGCTAATATATGAAGACTAATCTTGGAGAATAGCCCGACTGTCAGGGAAAATGTACCGAGCGGCCATTTTGAGCAGCCATTTTGAAGAAAAAAAGAAGATCTCATCATACTTGTTTTTTTTTTATTTTTAGAGTGGAAACATTCCAAGAGCAACGATAATCTATTGACTGTTGAGGAACCTTTAGATTGATCAGAAGACTTGCGTTTATCAGCCGTTTGTTTGCATCATCATCATGGGTCACTTGTTTTCGTCCGAGGCAGTAAACATGGAGGGCAAAGAGGCAACGTACATCAAAGGTAAGGTCATCAGAAACCAGTGTTTGAGTTTAATTTAAAGCCTCTTTCAGGCAGTAAACATGTAAACATGTAAACATGGAGGGCATAGAGGCAACATACATCAAAGGTAAGGTCATCAGAAACCAGTGTTTGAGTTTAATTTAAAGCTAATCTTGAGCTCTGCTATGGGTCCTGTATTATTAGAGAAGATCACTATGATTTTATTCTAGAGTGTTTATCCTGCAGTAGATTGTTTTAACCAGTGGAATAAAAACAGACGCACAACAAAATTACTGGGCATCATCTTCGATAAAAACTACATCTCCCATAATTTGCACTATAGTATAGCAATATGGTGTTTGGCCTACATGTACTTTAATACCAGGATTTCTGTATCTTTCTTTGCTCATTACTCAGTCACTTTGCATTTTCTTCCAAAATTGTATGGCACATGTCATTTAATTGTGATCTTGAACATTCAGCCTAAGTTTTTTTGGATTCTGTGAGAGTTAATTTTTTGTATTTACCAGAGCTGTAGTTTGTCTTCAAGGGTTCCATGTGCACTGTATATTTTCTTTCTCTGCCTCATCCTGTAATTTTCGTCTCTATCTTTCTTTTCTCTCTGTGTATATGTCTTCCTCCTTTCATGTAAACTCTCTCCCCTCTCCCTACCCCACCCCCCCCCCCAAAAAAAATCTCCTCTTTCCCACCGGTTTCTCTTCCATTGTCTTTATTTGGATTCAGTTCACATTGTTTTCTTTTTACATTATATCAAATTTTTCCTACAGTTATGTCTCCCTATCCCCCTCCCTTTCCATGTTCATCTCGCTCTCCCTCATTTTTTTTTTGTTCATCCATCTTTATCTCTCTCTCCTTCTGTTTCTCTCAGTTTCTACCAGAATTAGTTATTCTTTATCTTCTCTTCATACTCCTTATCCGTTGACCAGTCTATCGACAGTTGAGTTCTTGCTACACTGTATATACATGTATGCACAAGATTATTTCTGTAGTTTATTGATACAATAACAAAATTCAGCAGAGGGGTTAATATTGATTTCAAGGGAGGAGCTAGTCTGACATGCCAGAAGGGGGTCGGGGGGGGGGGGGGATTGGCTACAGTTCCTCCCCCAACCATCAAAGGTATCAACAATAACCAAAAGTACATGTAACCTTGTTGCAATATCAAGTTGACACTATAAGCCTACAAGACATCTTCGTTCATCTTAATCCTCCTTATTAGTTGTCCCTAAGAGGCGCAGTTCCTGGGGGGGGGGGGGATAGATCATTTTCTCATTCTGGTCCGTCCCTTTGGAATATTAGCTGCCACTTAGTATTCGTAATTTAACTGCCCTTCATGACTTCAAAGTTGCTCTAAAAACCCATATCTTTCTAAACAGTGCTATTTAATCATGTCAATGTAGCATAATAATTTGTGTTGTTTTAGTTTACTTTATTTTTGTTAAGAAAGTTATATTTTTGTGATAGTAATATGTACAGCGCCATGAGCATCAGAGCCTGGCGGATACCGGCGCTATATAATATCTATATTATTATTATTATTTTTATTTTCTAAAGAGTAAATATATGAATTTTACATCATGAGTCTGGTCTGAATAACAAGCACTTGTACTTTGTTCAAGTGGGAAAATGTGGGGATAAGTACAAAAAGAGTCAATTGCTGTAGTTGTGTGCTCGCACAAGAGTGAGTATTCCTGATTTACCTGTAAAAACTCTTTGTGTTTGCAGACTGCTCCTGCACTTCCTGGTTCTATTCTGCATAAATGATCATCTAATTCCAATATATTCTTAGTAGATATTCCTTGTACCGGTAGTTGTGAAAAGATGACAACCTCTTTTCATTGTTTTTTTTTATCACGATCTCAAAATTACAGATAAATTACAAGTCCATGATGTCGCAGTCAAAGATGACAAGACATACATGTATCAACATACCGACAAACAAAAAATCTCAATTTTGTTGTATACCGTATATTATGATTAATATTAATTTATTTTACCTGATTTTTTTCTTCTTAACCAGGTATCACACATGATAAATGTGTAGTAGTCTTCTCCAAGACTCACTGTCCATTTTGCCATAAAGTCAAGACAATCTTTGAGGACTTCGGTGCCAGCTACGAAGTGGTGGAGATGGATAAACGTTCCGATACGAGTGCAATGCAAGCTGTACTTGGAAAGATGACGGGTGCTTCCACGGTAAGAGTTCAAATTTCCATTCAATGTGGTTTATTAGAAATTATACATACAGTACATGGAGTAGTAGTCCAGGGACTACAGTAATTACACAATGTTTACCATGTAAAAAAACTAAAAATGGTCTTAAAATAGGACCATCAATCACAACAAAAACTTAATTTATAAGAAGTTTTTAAAAGTAATGTACAGTATACATGTACATACAAATTGAAATCACACTTGTATAAAAAGTAAAGAGTAGGTAAAGAGTTTTGGAAACAAAACATTTAATGATGTATTACAAAATAGAACTAAAATTTCAAATGTTTGGCCGAAAATTATAGTTGTCGTATCGAGGCCCTTCGCAAAGGCGTGTCTGCATAAATTTGGTTATATTACGAAAATGGCTTATGGCGTATCGAGGCGCTTCACAAAGGCATGTCTGCATAAATTTGGTTATATTACAAAAATGGCTTATTGACACAACTGTTTGCGATTCATGATCATTTTTGCCATGTAAATAATTCTTGTTTACAAAATGTGACGGTTCCATGTAATGTACATGCATGTAGTGACAGTTTTGGGTTTGACGATGCTGTATATTTAATTATAGCTACCTGGTACACTTACAATACACAATTATTCCTTAAAGAGGAAGTTAAAGCCACCTAACAAAGTGAATGATTAACAGGTAATAATTCCAAAACTTTTTGAGATATATACTGCACATGTAGTACAGCAGGTATTAAATTCCATGAGCTTGTTAATTGTGAGATGCTCCAATTCTTTCACTTATTGCCGAGAAGGGGTGGGGAGGGGGAGGGGGGGGGGGGGGTGGGAATCTGCCCCCTTTGGTTGAGAAGGCACAGAAATAACCCAGCCCTTTTAATACCGTCAAAGTTATTTCCCTATTTAGAGTCCTACTCTATGATGACACTGTTTATAACATTACAAAACTTCAAGTGTGTGAGAGAGCATTTGTATTTATAAGTATAGTAATTGTATATGCATGGGTATATTATTTACATACCAGTATGTATGTGAGTGGGACTACAATTAAGTAATTATATACATGTAGGTATAGCGTGATTGTTTTAAAGGTAATTATCCTCAACAGAGTTGGGATGGGTGATCTTTGATCAAGACAATTGTTTATGGTTTTATCCCCTTAGCACGGTTGGAAACATAGTTAATGAACAGGATTTTTCATGTTTTTTGTGCAAATACATCGTTGCTGTTTTCACGAAGTGACGGTAGTGAAAACAAATTGCATTCACTTTGCGTTACGATTTTCCTCACTACCGTCACTTCGTGAAAACAAGGACGACATGTCTGTGGGGTAAAAGGGCAATCCAACCCTGAAGTTCATTTGTATGAAAGCAGACAAATTATGTGAACAGAATGGCAAAAGTTTGAAATATTTCGGATCAATAATACAACAAAAATCACTAATTTTTGAAATATGAAATCACTAAGTCTACAGTATGAGAATCTCAAATTGGCAATTTGGTCAGTTCATTGTGAAGTAGTTGCGGATAATTCCCATTTGTCGTGAACAAACTACAAAAATATAATAAATTCATGTTTTCTCCTAAGTACCTTCTCCGTTGGGGCACTACTCAAAATATATTATGGATAGAAAATTATCATAGTTCCTCTAATAAAGGTAATACAAAGCTTTGGGAAATTTTGAAAATTGGGTGGATAGTGATTCTTCACAATTTTGATATATTTGGATGCCCCTTTGGATGTATCATAAGTACTAGAAAATTTAGCCCCTAAAACACTTCTGCTTTCGAGCAAAATTGAATATAAAAATTTACCGGTGCTCCCGGTAAATTTTGATGAATTTCAAATAGTGCCTACAGCCGTAGGCGTACATACATGTACAACAGTAGCTGCGACCATGAAAATCTCTGAATATGTTCATGTACATGTAGCTGTGATATATAATTTCCAAACAGGAATCTGTCAATTTTAGTCAAGAAACATTTTTTAATAGCTTAATTAATATCTTGACCTTGAGAGGGAGCTATACAACATAAAGAGTTTATTATTTACAATTTCATACCTTTAGACTCGATTTCAATCGTGACAACGATCACTGAATATTGTAGGATCGCATATGCTTCCAATATGTTCACTTGAACAAAATTCATGACCATATACCAAAACTTTGTATTACCTTTAAAGAGAATAGACCTAGCTTCCTGAGTCATATTTCCTTTGAGGTTGGATTTACCTTTAATGTTCCGGACAAAGGGATAAACATTGTAGGGATTAATAATACAGTAATGCTCTGTAGTCTTTACATGTAGTCATAAACCATTCTAATGTCTTGAAATTTGTTTTTTAAAGATTTTTTATTTTTTATCTTGTTGCAGTGGTCTATTCTGCAGTTAAATATAAATTTAGAGTTTTATTTTTACAATTGCATCGTGAAAAAAGCTGTTAGGAAGCTATTGGGGAAAGAGTGATTATAATGTAGCACAATTCAATATTGATGTATGTTGTTGTGAAGTTTTGGAATCATCAAAATGATATGAAAGCATACAGTGTATCGGTCTTGCTGAGTATCACATGCACTGTATACACAAATGTACAGTATACATGGGACTACACAAACATGTGACATGTATGTTTGGTCCAAATATTCAATAATTTTTTCTTATTTATCCTTCGAAAGTGAAGGCATTTTAAGAGCCATCCTTTTTCAAGCGACAATACCAAAGGGAAAAATTTAATTTTTTTTTTGGGGGGGGGCTACTTTTCAAGCTTGCCTGCATGAAAATAATTCTAAAATTTGTTTTGCATTGAACTCTATGCAAATTTACAGGGCTTTTTTCCTGATTTTCAGGGGGCTTTTTGGGGCATTTCGGGGGCTATTTTGCCCGAGCCAACGTGTATTTTTTCACTGGACTATTTTATATGATATTCTTACACACTATTAAAAGGGTGAATAAGTTCACAGATTATTTCTCCACCTTTCTTAGATTTCGACCTTATCTGGAAGTCAAGCTTGTTTTCTGATAAGTCCTCTGTCATTTTTGTCCCCAGGTTCCGCGAGTATTCATCCAGGGCAAGTGCGTAGGCGGTTACGATGACACCAAGAGACTACAGGACTCGGGCCGTCTAGAAGAGATGCTACGGGATTGCAACGCCATAGAGTAACGCAGCCTCTGAATGCCATCCACTGGCCGTTCAGGGTTTAGCGCTTATGAGTGAAGATTGGGACGTTCGGTCGTTGGAATACAACAGTAATGGCCTTGGATACAGCATCGCAAAATTGTTTGTGGACTTTATTTCTTTCCACAGTTAAAACACTCCATACCTGTAACCACTAAGCAATGCAAGGTATTGTATGAATATGAAGCACATCTATTTGAGAGGGAAAAAAATGAAAAGGCTGATGTTAGTGGTGGCATATTAACACAAAAGTGTGTCTTATACCTTACAGGTATCTTTCATGGCCTTCATAGAGTAAAAGTTCTCTACTTGTATTGGTGGTAAAGTATTGTCAGCTAGTTGCTATATTTGTTCAAGTATTACTTATACATTATACATGTACATGGACATCAAACATACAGTATCATAGTCGAACCTGTGTTTAATAGTGGCCACCTGTCTAGGAAGGCCACCTGGAAGTAATGGACTTATTTCATGAGTCGGCTCATCAAGTGAAATATTCTCAAATGGATTGCGATGTGCTCTTGTGTCCTACGAAAAGAAAAGCCATTCGATCTTATTATCCATCATTTTACCACATGCTCATATAACATACAGCCTTTTCACACACAGCTACAATTCTATAAACATGATTAGTTTATAAAAGGGCTTCAAACTAATCACCTGTACATACGACATCATTCACACACAGAAATTTCGGTGCGATCGTTAATCGTTTCATGATTAACTACTGCTCGTAAAATGCGCAGTAGTGCCATTGCACATTGAAGGTCATGTCATATCAATCAAAGCGCACGCTCCATCCAGTTTAAACACGTCTGAAACACGTTTAAACACGAATAACCTTTCACACACAAAATGTCAAGCTCTCTAGATACAAACTTCGTATCTGCAGCCTGCTTTTAGGGGCGTATGAATCGCGACTTTGTATCTATCCCAACATCGTATAAACGATGTTCACACTGGAAAAATTTTCTATAAACATGTTTAAAACTGTTGAGTTAAACACGTTTATACTAATCATCTCTGGATACGATGAACTTTAGCTGTGTGTGAAAAGGCTGATAGATCAGTAAATTTGATTTGAAATCACCTTTCTATCCATAGTTGCATATTTATTGAAGTTATATACATTGTATATACAGTATTTTTTAAAGGTAAAGACCAGTTATGGTCATGCAATTGCATTGTGAAAGAAACGTTGTGGAATCGATCAGAAAAGGTTGATCATCTAGCATCTAGCATCTGCAAGGTTCTGGAATCATCAAAATGATAAGAAATTTGGCCCATTCTTCGTAAAGTTACAAGCACTATACACAGAAAGATGTATATGGGACTACCCTATATCTCTCACAGACCATGAGAGAAACAAATTTACCAAATATATGAATTAGTAGGCGGTTTCCCGGCAAATTTTTTATCATCATGTATTAGTCGAAACATATTCTTTCACATGATTGGTAATGAGAGCTTCCATTTCATTTTTTGAAATTGGGGCGTTTCCAATACTGGTCTTTACCTTTAAATCAATATACATGCGTATGTAGAGTAAAGTATGAACTCAATTGTGTTACAGCTAGACAGTTTAAACTAAATTATTCATACCCTTGCATGTACATCTACCAAGTTGTGTAATGTTTTAGTACATGTACATGCATGTGGAAATTGATTTCCTGATTTATGTTGAGAATGTGACATAATAAACCTTGCATCTAAAATTATTCAACAACAGTCCTAATTCAACCAGTCCATTTGTCATTCTCCATTTATGAAAAAACACAGGCACCATCAGATTTACAAGGAGTATGGATAAGTTAGTTTTTAGCTGATGCACATGTTCATGTACATATGCTACATGTAATGTATGTTGATGTGTCTTGTTTATTACTATACATTGACTAATTGAATAATTTAATATTTTGAAATAATGTTATAAATTTCACTGGCTTATGTGTCTGTCTGGATTGCACCTACATACTGTATACTGTATATTACACTGTACTTCTTTCTGAAATACTGATTCCTAGATTACATATGTAGCAACTTGTGATTTGCTTGTTTTTCTTGCCATTAATTTCTTTCTTTCCCTCGTCCATTCAAAACACGTATAAGTCTCATGCTTATATTTTCGCGAGTTCTAAAATTAGCGCGAGTTCTAAAATTAGCGCTAGCCAATCTTAGCACGAAATCCATGAAAATTATGTACTGCAAATATTTCTACTTTTACAGTACATACATGTACATGTACATACTGTAAACGTATAGGCCCATATATTTTAATGGGTTGTTACATCCATTGTTTTTAGTAACATGCCTCTGGCATCTATTAACCTTCATTGGCCTTGGCCCTTGTCATACAGCTGGCATTGGCTCATAAAAAATATAGCATTGCTCCCATTTGGTTGAAACCTTAGTTAGCCTTGCAATACAGCTGGCAATGGCTCATAAAAATGTATAGCCTGGCTCCCAATTTTGGCAAAAACCGTTGCCTTTATGATACTCTTTTCACACTGGTTTTGCTTAACCCCGTACTTTGCTTAGCCCTGTACTATCCTTAACCCCGGACTATTTTTTTGGCTTTTCACACTCGCTGTTTTTAGTCCCGTACTAGCGCCTATTCCGGAATAAGAAAATTCCCGCTGTTCTCACTGCATTTCGTTAACCCCGGATAACGTGTATGTTATGATAGGACATACTTCGCATCTGGCCAGCTGCGATACGCTCCATTGCGTAGTACCGGACTATTTTTCGTTTCTGTTCTCATTCATTTGCTTAGCACCGCAATTGCGGGGTTAGCAGGAGTTAGCACCACAATTGCGGAGTTAGCCCTGCTATTTTGCAGGGTTAGTTAACCCCGTACTATAGGTGGGGTTAGCCAACTTTAGCCCACTTTGGTAAAAACCAGTCTGAAAAGAAAGTGGAATAGGCTTAACCCCGTACTATAGGTGGGGCTAAGACCCCCCTTAACCCCACCTATAGTACGGGGTTAAGCAAAATATTGCCAGTGTGAAAACAGTATATGAGAGTAATATCAGGACAGAAAGACTTCACAATCCTAATGTCAATCAAATCTCTGGTTTTATCTCTGAAAACCACACTAATCACATGCCTTGCCAAACAGATGTCACATGTTACATGACTTCCTTCAATGGCATTATATACCACATGCATAAACAGCAGATATGGGCAAACAAGTTGTACTGGTACTCTCGATGATTTCCAGATGATTTACAAAAATATATATTTAAAGGGATGACTACCGTATATACATGTATGCAGTCAATTTTCTTTTTATCCCTTGTGAATAGGCCAGTTTACTAAAATATTCAAATTGTATGCATACTTTTTTTTTTTACAAAGTTTGTTCTTGACACCCCAAATCTTGCTCGAGGCTTGCCGACATAGCAACAAGTAATGTATGCAGACTGGATTCCAAGTGTAACTCTACACCAAGTCCCCAGGAAAGAAAAATGCATGAATTTGAATGTTATTTAAACTGGTCTAGTACTTCACACAGGTGACTTTATAGAATAATGTGTTTACATCCACAAGTTTGTCTTTTTTTTTTGCAGTTATGTAACTTTCTCATGGTCTATTTCTGTCAGTAAGTTAATGTTAACCTATGTTGCTATTTAAGATATATAGATATGTTTATCAAATGATTTTTGCCAGTACATGTACATATGTGGTTTACCATAAATTTGAATTTTAATATTTGTGTTCAAGTTACAGATCTTTAATGGAATAGTTTTTGTTTGAATTCAGACTTGGTAAACAATTAATAATAAATGGCATTAAAGAGGAATTCTGTGTTTGTGCACATTGATAATATGTTTATATGGGATAAAATTACCATATTTATATTTCATTCAAAGTGGTAATAAAGTGATAATATGTTTATGTGGGCCAGTATTACCACGTTTATATTTCATTCAGTAATAATATGTTTATAAAATGTATATGGGATAATATTTCCAAGTTATTTCATTCACAGTGACAATATGTTCGTATGGGATAATATTACCTTGTTTTATATTTCATTTACATTACAGTGATGATGTTTATGTGGGATGATGTTACCATTTTAAAATTTCATTTAAAGGTAATACAAGGTTTTGGTATGGGGTCATGAATTTGGTTCAAATGAATATATATGAAGCGTATGCAATCCTATAATATTCAGTGATTGTTCTCACGGTCGAAATCAAGTCTAAAGTGATGACATTGTAAATAATAAACTCTTTATGTTGAATAGCTCCCCCTTAAGGTCAAGATATTAATTCAGCTTTAAAACAATGTTTCTTGACTAAATCGACCGATTGACTTTTCCCATTTGAAAATCATATATCACAACTACATACCGGTACTCCGAGATTTTCATGGTCGCAGCTACTATTGTATGGCCGTAGGCGCTATTTGAAATTCATCAACATTTACCAGGAGCACCGGTAAAAAAAATTATTCAATTTTTCTCGAAAGCAGAAGTGTTTTAGGGGCTAAATTTTCTGGTGCTTATCATACTGTACATCTACAGGGGCATCCAAATATATAAATATTGTAAAGAATCACCAACCAGCCAATTTCAAAATTTCCCAAAACTTTGTAATACCTTAAAGATGTTATCAACATTGTAACATTTGTGTCATAAATGGCATTTGAATTGAGTGGATTTATATGTTTATATTAATACTGTGAGTGTGTTATTGGATACAATGTTATTATATATTTGCAATAAATACCTGGAGGTACTAATCACGGTATTCACTCGTTATCATTGCATTTGTATGTTCTTGTGCGTAGACTTTTGGGCCTACAAGGGCTCAGTGGTAGAGCAGTGGTGGTCTCGTAACCGGGAGGTCCCGGGTTTGAAACCAAGTCGATGCGCTAGTGCCCTTTGGTAAAGGCATTTATCCTCATTCCCAAGTCCCCTCAGAGAGGACTTAAAGCTGTCAGTCCCCTGGTTGCCTACTTACAAGCATATATACACAGTTGGGTAAAATGAACAAACCGACCGACAATGCAACAATGTACATACATATTGAGGGGAAGTCCACTATGATATTAATTTTCAACAAAAGCAGAAGATAAATCAGAATAAACAGATAATGGACGGTTTACTGGGAAATCTGAGAAAGAGAAGGAAGTACAATGTAATAAGCAGGGCTCTCACTGAACTTTGTTTCTTGGTTGCCAGCCGGGCATCCT